GTTAAAACAATTTCAATTTTTATTTAAAGGCCCTGATTGTTGCTTCCAATTACCATGAGATCCGTGAAATGGAGCTTCGAAGTCATTGTTTAAACTCCCTTAAAGATATTGTGTTTAAGAGATATAGCCAGGTGAGCCACTTCACAAGTAAATCCTAAGATAAGTCTTGCTTTTTGTTTCAGGCCTAGTTCTCACCCCTTAGAAGGGGGGAAAATTCACCTTTTCCAAGAGACCATCAAGTTAAAATAATATTGAACTACTGAGGTGGACAGCCTTTCTTGAAGGTAACATTACCATGGGGATGAGATCACTTGGTATCCCACCTACTCTTTATTATTGTTATTCCTGATGGCTAAACTCAGGCTAAAAATTATATGAGCAATTCAGTTCTAGGATTTTTTGGCACCATTCCCTAGGCTTCTGAGAGCCATGAGTTGAAGGCTGTTAAAATGGGTACTTAGTCTGCTTTGTCCATGTAAAACTTTTAAATAGAGAACTGTTAACAAATATCATAGGACTGGCATTTTTTTTCCTCAAAATTACATTGGCTTTCTGACTTCTAGTACTGGTCAAAAATTGGAAGAATACTCACTTTGAGAAGTAAAAAGAAATCTATAAAGTTCTTTTCAGCTACAGCTTCTAAAAGTGGAAGTGAACTAAAATATTTTTTTTTCTCTCTCCATTTAGAACTTCCAAACTTATTGTCCAAAACCTCTACAAGGAAGGACTGTGGAACCAGAAAGTGGTATGTATATTTGAAATGTCATTACTGCTGCCTTGGGAAATGAGATTCATAATAGGAAGTTTACATATGTTACATTCCCACTCCATTATCCATTCCTTGTTCCATAATTCTGGCTGCACTGGGAGAGGTCAGTATTTCCCCTTGACTGGGAAACCAAAACCACTCAATGCCCAGTATCTCACATTAGTTTGTGTTTTTCTCTTGGTAAGCACTGAAAATGTGAGAGAAACAACCACCTTATGAAAAAAAGATGGTGATGAATTTGTTAAAATTATTAGTTTCAAATTTTCACTGGAATAATCTGATCAGAAGAACAGCATTGCAGCAGCTGCCAAAGTTGTCTTTCTGTTTTCTCTTCCCTACTTTTTTGCCCTGCAGTGGATTTAAGGATAATTCATGAAAACAAAAGTGAGAAAGAAAGAATCCAGAGACTGAACGAGGAAGCTTTTGGTAATGGTCCCCAACCAATACTCCAATTTGCACAATATAAGGTAATAAAAGCAACCAATTTGGGTTTTTTTTTAATGATTTTCATGTAGCGGTAGTGAAGCTAAATTTCAAATTGAAGAAATACTATGCTTTTTTAAACTTTAAGGAGGACATTTTAACATAAATTAGTTAAAAGGCTCTCTAAGAATCAGATTTGCATTGAGATTTGGTCAGTCTTAGGTCACATTTCAGCCTCATGAACTCAGCATTTTGACTTGTTTTTGTAATAAAGGTAGACTTGGACCAGCAGTGTGTTGGAGCAGGAGCAATGAGGGTTATTTAAAGCACGTGCAAAGCTCATTCTCTATATAACACCATAATTAACTTGAGTGATGCACAGATTTTAGCTGATGATCAGATATATTGGCAATTTTAAAAGATATTTAATGTTTCACAATATTACTGAACAAGCTGCCTCTTCCTTTCAGCAGAAAACTGCCACGTGGTGGCACCCTCTGATTTTATTACAACATTCCTCCAGCTGGAATCACATTCATTACAAATGAGAAACAGTCTTATTGCATATTACATTTAAACAATAACATATAAAGGAAATATATTCATTGCTTATACTCCCTGGTTCAATTTTGTGTTTAACAGCTTGAGACAATGTTTAAAAGTAGTCCCGAAATGGCTGTTTTGGATAAAAAAGAACCATTCAGATGCCTGGTCAAGTTTTCTAGTCCACATCTTTTAGAATCACTGAAATCCTTGGGACCAGCAGGTAAGTGTTCCAACTCTATAAAATGGAGGGGAAAATCCTGTTTAAAATTTTTTTTTAATTTAAATATCTTGCATAAGGGAGAAACCTCATAGTTTGTTTAGAAACAGGAGTGTGGTAGAATAAAAACGTTACCACTTTAAAAACTTATATCTAACTGCATAACACTTTGTTCTTAAAATTACTAGTTTGTATATGGATACTCAAGCTGTGGGTTTAGTTTTGTGGTTTAGTTTTATAACACTTATGAAAGGTAAATAATGGTTGAGTACAGCTGTAATTATTTGTATCTCTCTCTCCAGGTATGGCTGATGCACCACTTTCTCCACTCCTTACATGTATAACACAGAAAGCTAGGAATTATTTTAGAATAAGAGAGAAAAAAGGTTTATTTCCAGAAAGTTTTGTAAGCCCTTAATTTTAAACTGGGCCATAGAGAAAAATGTCATTTGTTTTTTCCTGATATTAATCTAAATCATCATAAACTTTAAAACAGACTTTAAGAAAACAACTTATTCTTTGGTAATACCTTAAATTTTTTTCCAACTTATGGCTTCTTTGAATTATTCTTTAACAGAAATCAGCCCTTTCCTTGACTAATAAAAAAAGTCAATTGCAAAGTTTAAACAGAGATTGTGGTTATTTTAAATCTAAATGTAATGACTGCTCTTAACTGTATTTTTAATAGTATTTGGGAAGTTAAAGCTTAATGAAGGTGCAATGACAGAGCTGTAGCTGCTCAGTTTGCTCTCAGAGCTGCAGGTGACACTCATATTGTTGGTGGCCCTTCTTATTGTGGCTCCAGTTCAGATGGGTGGGACTCCCTGTCTGCAGGTCAGGCAAGTTTTTATCTAAATAGGTAAAGTTTGTATTCAAAGAGCATTACAGGGCACAGGGAAAAAGGGACTCTTGGAATATTAATGCCAGTAAGAAGCTTCCATCCAGCTTCAGGGGATATTAACTCAGTTTCAAAGACCTTCTCACCAAGGGCAACAGCAAATAACAAATACTTAAGAAGGAAAAATCTATCTTTGGTATTGATGTCTTATGAAACTTTATCTTGGAGGAGTACAGTGAAACAGGCAATATTTTCTTTAGGCTATTTCAATTAATATTGGATCCTTCTGAAATCCTTGCACGTTGCCACTTTTCTGTGCTTGGGGACAAGGATTGCAGGATCAAGATGGCAACAGTCACTAATGCAAACAGCTTTGCATTGGAGTTCTTTGGAGTTGGGAAAGAATTGGGAATGTATAGATAGTTGCTGCATTGGTTTTTTGAGATGGATTTGATCCCAAGATTCAGTTCTTGAGTACAAGTGTTTGTCTTTAATTCTGTTACCTGGACAGTTTTGTGTGTACTTTGTGTAATGTGGAATTTCCAATTCACTTTGGATACCTCAGTGCTCAGAGGCAGCCTTGTTTTGAGAGGTTGTATGAGCATGTTTTTGTTTTCAAACTGTAAATAAACGTGTAAATTAAGTCTTCTCATAAAAGTTTGTTTGGCCTGACTTAGAAATATGACTTATCATATACTGATGTTTGGTTTGGTTTTTTTCTCTATAACTCACACTTTAAAAGAGGTTAGTTTAGGACTATGTGCTAGTGATATGGTTTTTAGGAATTCCACCTGATTTAAATCTTAGTTGGACAAAATCCTTCATGTTAGGATTCTGAAAGAATTCCAGGTTTTGTGTGATAGACATTGAGTTGGCTCTTACACATGTCTCGTTCACCCTCACAGAGCCTTCCAGGATTCAGGTCCATTAAGATTCCAGTGTGCATTTCACTCTCTGCAACTTGTTCTTCCTAATGCTCTCTCCCAAATAACTTAAATGCCTGAGATGACAATGATTTACCATAAAGGTAAAGTTCCCAAATGCTCTAAAACACTGTGAGTGCCTGGACTACTGCCTGTGCTTGCCTCTTGTTTCTGGGAAAGGCAGGCTCCATCCCCTTTTTAACAACCAGAACATTGATATCTCTGGTTTCCAGAGATATGTTTCATCTCTAACTTCCTGTAAGCAGGGATATTACAGGAACTGTGCAGCACTTCCAGGCAAGCAGGTGTGCATTTATTAATTTGTCAGAAAACACATCTGCAACTGCTGGGTTCCTTCTTGCTGAGCAAGTGTCCCCATGGAGGAGGTAAGGCAAAGGGGGAATGTGGAGACCAAACTTGTCTTCCTCACTCCAGCTGGTCTCTTCCAATAAGTTGGAAGTTTGGGGTTGGACTAGGTGACCTCTGTTCTTTGATGATCCCAAGCAGCAGAACCACATGCAGCTGTGGGAACAGGGGCTGTGGGATGGACGCACAGCCTGGGAGCTCCGTGTATGGCATAACCCTTCCCCGATAAATGGTGCACATATTGTCCTTTAACTTGACAAATTATAGGGGAAAAACCACAGTGTTGTGTCATTGGTTCCAACATCAGTGAATCACAGAATACTCGGAGTGGGAGGGGACCCACCAGGATCAAAGTCCAACTCCTGGCCCTGCACAGGACATCCCCAGGAATCCCACCATGTGCCTCAGAGCATTGTCCGAGCTCTCCTTGAACTCTGTCAGCCTTGGTGCTGTGCCCACTGCCCTGGGGAGCCTGTTCAGTGCCCGACCAACCTCTGGAGGAAGAACGTTTTCTAATATCCACCTAAACCTCCCCTGACACAACTCCAGGGCGTTCCCTCGGATCCTATCGCCAGAGAGGAGATCAGTGCCTGTCCCTCCGCTTCCCGGTGCAACCCAATACCCGCAGCCCCTCCGTGGTGCAGCGGGGAGGCCCCAGCCGGGTGTGCTGAGGGGCTGTGCCGTTCCGAGGGCCGGCACGCGCGGTTTTCCATGTGTCTCCCTGTTTTCCATGTGTCTCCCTGTGTTCCCGGTCCGCAGCTCGGGCTGTTTTTCCCTCGGCCCCCCCCGCATTGCCAGCGGCCGCCGCTGGGGGGCGCTGAGAGCGGGGGGCGGGGCCGCGACACGTGCCTCATGAATATTCGCCATCGGCGGCGCCGATTGGCCGCGGGCCCCGGAAGGGGCGCGGGGGGCCGAGCAGTGACAGCAACATGGCGGCGGCGGCGGCCGGGCGGCGTGGCGGGGGCTTGGGGCGGCCCCCCGCGCCCGGGCGGGACGGGCCGCCCGCCGCCGAGCTGGTGCGGCCCTCGGTCACCGAGCTGTCCCAAGTGCGGACCAACATCCTGTGCACCGTGCCCGGCTGCGGGAAGGTGCTGCCCAACAGTCCGGCCCTCAACATGCACCTCAGCAAGGCGCACCCGCTGCAGGTACCGCCGGGAGGCCGCGCCGGCCCCGCCGCCCCCGCCCGCTCGTCCCCGCGGGGCCGCCCCTCGGCCTGGCTGCGGGGCTCCCTCAGCGCAGGGGGCGGCCCCGGGGCCTGCGGCCGGCCCGGGTGCGGGTCCGGGGGGCGGCTGCGGCGGTGGCTGTGCCGGGGTTTGGTTCGCAGTGAGACTCGGGGGGTGTGATTCCCCACCCTGAGGAGAATTGGGATTCTTCGGAGAGAATCTGAGAGAACTGGGATTGTTCAGCCTGGAAAACAGGAGGTTTTGGGGTGACCTAATTGGGCCTTCCAGTACCTGGAGGGAACTTACAGGAAAGATGGGGCACGACTGTTTACAGGAGCGTGGAGTGACAGGACAAGGGGAGTGGGTTCAAACTTAAAAAGAGTAGGTTTAGATTAAATATCAGAAAAAAATTCTTACCTGTGAGGGTGGTGAGGCCCTGGCACAGGTTGCCCAGAGAAGCTGTGGCATCCCCATCCCTGGAAGTGTTCAAGGCCAGGTTGGACAGGTCTTGGAGCAACCTGGGCTAGTGGAAGGTGTCCCTGCCCATGGCTGGGGTGGAATGAGATGGGCTTTGAGGTCCCTTCCAAACCAAACCATTCTGTGATTCCAAACGGGAATAACAGAGTGTTTCTCCTTGTCTCTTGTTTAAATCTCCCCCGTGGGAAAGGCCCCTGCAGGTGTGTGTGTGTGCACAGGCTGACCAGTCATGTTGAGGATTCCTCTAAAATTACTTACAGAAACTAACGAATTTTAAGCATTTTTATGAACATACCCCAGGCAAACAAAAGTTCTTCGGGGCTCAGCTTCTGTTGTTTCACTCGCTTATCCCTTATCTTTCTGCAGTGGGACTTTACAGCACCACTTGTGAGGTGCTGTGCAAACAGGCAGCATTTCCTACCCTTATCAGCTGTCAATCCGCCTTCATCCCAGCGCCGAGGGCTCTTAGGTGGAGTTTTTGTTTGTTTTTTTTAAAAATAGCTGAGTCAAAAAAAAAAAACCAGATGGATGCCATTTTGGAAACAAGCCCTCATTTCCATAGTACTCCTGAGAAAACACAGCATGTGCTGGTGGGGGAGGAGAGCCACAGTTCATCAGGCACACGGCTGAGTGTGGCCTTTCCAGAAAGATATCCTTGCTCTTCCCAAAATCATTGTGCCAAGCGTGCCAAGACAAATCCTATTCCTGGAAAACTTCGACTGCGGCGTTTGTAGCTGCGTTCTGAAAGTGCAGCCTCAGCAGCCACACAATAAACACCTTTGTTGTGTGAAATGGTTAATTCAAGAGTCAAGTGTGGGTTCCACGTGCTCGTTGGTGATGAACAAAAGGCAGCAGTGTTGGGGCACTTGCTGTCTGCTATCTCTGGGATGTTTTCATTTCTTTTACTGACATATACTGACAATTTTAGTGTGGGTTGTGTGTTAGATCTCGAGTGCTGGTGTGAGAGGAGGTACAGCAGGAGTTGAAAGTGTTCTCTGAGGTCAGCAGAGGCATTTTGGTTGTGAGCTGATGCTCTGGGAGTGCAGTGCAGCTGGTGGGTTACATAACCCAGGGTATGACGGGTGAGGAGATGCTGCTTTCTCACCCAGCCTCTGTTAACCAGCTCCTGTGCCTTGGGGAATTATAGCCTGCTTCAAACACCTAATTACTGCATCTTGGGGTAGCTTGGAATAAATACTGAAACGTGGATGGATGCAGATTCACAGGAACTTCTTGGCTTGTTCCAAGGGCATCGTAATTAAGAGTAAAAATGTTGCTGATGTTTAAGGGAGGCTAAATATTTTAGTATTGGTATTTCCTTTTAAGAGAGAACTGATTCCCCAGACAAAAAGAATTCAGTAGATTGCATTTGTTAGTGACACATGAAATTAGTGAAGAGGCAACTTGGCAAATGAGAGGCTAAGAAGCTCTTGGGGAAGGAGAGAAGGTGGTACTGCTGAGGAGAAGGGAGGCTGGCTTGGTTAATTTTCATGAATAAAAGCAGCACCAGTAGGATTTTTTTGACACCAAAACCATGAGGGATTGCCATGGCAGGGGAAGGATATTTATGTAGGAAGGTAAGATTACCCTGTAAAAACAGAGTCAAGTGCAGCAGTACAAGGTTATAGTCTTGTGAGGTGATAACAAACAAATTGATTATTTCTATAACAAACCAGGACTAACTTGTGATGGGGAACACTGGCAAAAGCAATTTGGTCATACAGGGATGAGCATTTGGAGTAATGCTGCTGTGAGAAGGGCAGTCCTAAAACATCACAGAAGGATGTTCTCTGTCAGTGCTGTAAAGCAAAAATCTGGTTTAAATAAGTCAAAATGAACCCAGAAGAGCTGTAGAAAAGAACTGCTAAGGGTGATGAATGGCAAGTGTGTCTGACAAAGGGGAATTAGAAGAATTTGGCTTATTTGGCCTAACAAAAGAAGATATGATGAACTGTTGATATATAAGTTTCTATTTTCTGGTTCCTTCACTTAATTAAGCCAATAATAAAAAAAATGAGAACACTGGGTATAAAATGACATAATATCTTAGACTTGAATTTTTCATTTTAATTTGTTGGTCTTTTGTCTGTATTATTTTATGGGGAGAAGGGGAAGACTTCTGTGTAGTTTAAATGAAGCTGGAATAGTTCATGTAAAGGTAAGGATTCTGTGGATTCCTGGGACAGCAGGAAGGCTGTAGTCAGTGGTGAACTGGAAAGAGTAGCATACCCTGGGGGTAGGTTACCCACTACTGCACTGCCACAATAGTTTTTATAATAAAAATAAATGCACTTCTCTCCATGTCCTATTTAGTAAAGAAATGCAGGGGCTTCTGCTGCGAAAAAATATGTTTTAAATAGTTGGTTACAGTCCACTGCAACATAATTTTAAATGCATCCTTTGGAGTGAGCCTTGCTGTGGCAGGAAGGCAAGATATCACTGAGTTCACCTTGGCTAAGTCAGTGGCCAGGACTGTTAATTCCCATTTTCTGTGGTGTTGCCACAAGCCATGTCAGCATTCCTGACAGTGCAAGTACCTGCACTGGGAGGAGTTAATTGAACCAGTATCTGCTGATAATTGTGGTGAGTGGATATTGTAGAAACATGGAACATAAAATCAGATATGCAAGGAAGGGACTTGTGAGAATGTCTGAAATATAACTGGCCAGGTGGGGTTTGAGAAGGTGCAAGATTAATCATCAGGAGGATTTGGAAGAGGTGAAAACAAGATTACTGTCCATATAGGGTTTCTTATATATGTAGAGTATCTCTCAACTTGCCACCACAAATTTGTTGTGGTCTGTGCCACCAAAGTCTATGTTTCAACTGTTAAAAAAGCATCTCACTGATGTTTCTAAAGCTTTTAAACAGTTGTTATTCTATACCTTGGTATTTCAGTAGTTTTAAATAACCTGATTGTGGTTTACCTGTTCAGTGCCTGAACATGTTTCCCATATTGCCCTGTCATTTGTTGGGTTGTGGCATTAAATATAACACACTTAATAACTTTTTACTTAGGAATAAGTAACTCCAATTGCCACTTAGTGTATTGATTTCATCTGCAGTGGGAGAGGCCAAACATAGCTTTGACTTAAAAGCAAATCTTTTTTTTCTCCTCAAGACTTCAAGGCTGACTTCAAATCAAAATGTTTCTGGGTGAACTCAGGGTTAAAAAATATAATTGGGGCTGGAACAACTAGATTTGTTTGAGTCATGTTCCTGTTTTGGGCAGTGGCTGTAGGAGGTACAACAATAATCACAATGATGATTCAGCAGAGATAAAACAGGCCTGTTTATGAATGGGCTGTCCATGGGGAAAACTGCTGTGCATAAAGATGCTCAGAAGATTAAAATGTTACATGGTTAAAATGTTACATGAAAACTCCAGAAAGGGAGGCTTATTCCACGTTTTCATGGTGAAATTATGATTATTTTGGTCAAGAGGCTCTAAATGTTGCTTCTTTGAGTATGGTCTGTCACTAACAAAAATGAACGTGCAGCAGTGTCAGCAAGGAGCAGTGTTGGGTGTGTGGAAACATCACTGAAATACTGCTGGAAGGGATTACATTTTACACAGAGTGCCTTGGCCTGAGAGGTGATTTGAGGGAAAACAAAATAATCTTTGAAATATCCCCCTCCTCAGCTTTTGGAATGTAAATGAAACGACCACCAAAGCAAGGCATGAGGAGCTCAGAACAGAGCTGTTGGGTTTTGATTAACTCTGATGGGTTAATCTGAGGGTGAGCAGTGACCCCCTTTGTGTCCTGGCAGCTGAGCTACAGCCTTGGTTTGCTTCCCATGGGAGGACTGTTGTGCTCTGTGGGTTCTCCATGTTCGGTGTGACTGTGTAAACACAACAAAGCTGGAGATCTGCCCAAGGAGGTGGTTGGGGAGTGACCTTGCACTGCCTGTGCTCACTGCCACTGTCCTCCTGCTGAGGGAAATCAGGTGCAGAGTTCAAACAGGGCACGGTCTGGTAGATTCTTCCCTGAATAATCATCTTGGGGATGCCATCATGGACTACTGTAACTGGCTCTGGGGATTTGGTTGGCCTCCTGTTCAGTCTTGGGATGTGAGGAGACTCACAGCTGCTCTGAGCATCAGATTTTTAATAGTTCACTTTTAATTTTTTGCTTAGACACAGGTACCTGATGCTTCCCCTGAGACTCTTTCAGATAGGATATGTCTAGATGTACACACCTTGTCTGGTTTCCATAGCTGGTTTCCACAGCAAGAGGTTCTATGTGGTTGAACAGTCTGGACAATCCCACTAATGTATCCTGTTTATATGTATTTTTGAGGTCCTCTGAGCAAGTTATGTTGCTTTCTTCTATTGTGTGCATGTGAGGGTGAGTGAGACAGATCCCATGGAAAGTCCAGGTGGAGTGTTCCCTTAGTGTTGGGAGGTTCAGAGTTTGCATACCAGTTGTTTCATAGGTGTAAGTGAGATTTGGTTTATGATGTAAATTAAATGGCAGAGCATACTTGGCATTTTTCATTTTATTACATGTAAACTCTGAGCAGTGGCAACAGAATTCCAGCATCACAGAAGTGTTTTGTTACACAGTGGAGCCACAACTACTGTGCTACTAACCAGTAAAACCCATGGAATCAGCAGTCTAGTGTATTATCTGTATGGAAAACTTTATTTGGATCAAAAAAATACAAAATGTGGATTTAATTAGCTTGGAGCAGTGAGTATCTTGATTAAAGTGAGTAGTACAGTACCACTACTCCATAGAGCTTGTTATAATTGCACTTGGTACTTTTAATGGGATTTGGGGGAAAAGCTCCATGTGGACTTCCAAATAGCTTAGGAAAGTGCCTTCAACTCATCGAGGTGTGTGAACTCAGCCAGAGTTGATGTGTATTCTGAATATAGTCTTTAAAATGCAAACCCGTAGAATCGTCAACTTCTCACCTGGTTCTTTTTCAGGATGGAAAACTTAATGCACCAATAAGGAAGGGGTTGAAAACTTCACAGAAATTCTACTGCTGTCCTATTGAAGGCTGCCCTAGAGGACCAAACAGACCATTTTCCCAATTTTCTCTTGTAAAACAGGTATTCCTGTTTCCTGAAGTATTTTCACGCTGGTTTAGTCCTGACTGTCTCTACTCCGCTTTTGCACTCAGATATCATCAAAGCTTCTCAGCATATCTTCAGAAGTTAAAGAACTGTGGGCAGAAACTCCTGATGTGCATGTGGTTAATGAATTTGCATGTTTGCATGTTGATATTAGAGGACTTGAACCTTTTGATCAGTATGTTCTGCTGAACTGGAATACAGCCCCTCTCCACAAATAAAATAGATGGAGACAGATCAAAGCATGGGGGAGGAATCACAGTAGCAACCAATAAAGGTTTAAAATGTGACTGATGCTTTTAACTGCTTTTTCAAGTGGTCAAGAATGAAGAGTTTCTCTCTGCTTTATTATCAAAATGCATTTGTTTATTAGTTACTTGTTTAAGAAAACATGTAAGACTTGTTTTCTGAGTGAGTGAGCACAAAGAGCTGGTGCTGCTGGTGAGGAGACTGTAGGATTGGAGTGGCTGGCACTTTGTGCCATAAATGAAAAGGAAAAATCTTGGTGTTTGCTCTGGGGTTGACCTGTATGACTTGAGATTATTTGCTCAGTTGTAGATCTTCAGGAGTGTGCACATGTTGCTACATAGACTTACTGTGCTCTGTAGCAAGATTGATCTATAGATGTATTAATCTGTTTCCATTAATCTGTTTCAATGGCTTTAAGAGAGTTAAATATTTCTCTGTGGTTTAAGATACATTTAGCACAAGCAGATTTGCCAACTTTCAATTCTTTCTGTAGTTTTCTTTAAACTTGTAACTTATTAGTAGTAAGACTTTAGAGAAAATTGCTGTTCTTCAGTGCTACTTAACAACTAAAAAATTGCAAATATTTATGTCTCCCCTAAACATGATTTTCTTTCTTTTATCTTCACTGCAGCTAATGTTTCCTTTCCCTTGTGTGTTCTAGCACTTTATGAAAATGCATGCCGAAAAGAAGCACAAATGTGATAAATGTAGTAACTCCTACGGTACAGAATGGTATTTGAAACGGCATATAGAGGTCTGTGGCAAGACTTTCCAGTGTACTTGTGGGTGCCCCTATGCCAGCAGAACAGCACTGCTGTCTCACATTTACAGAACTGGCCATGAAATCCCTGCAGAACACAGGTAAAAGTGAAGCAGTTCAGTCACCAAGTGCTGTGTCTCCCCTGTGCTGCCTTTTTGTCTCCTTCCTGTTGGTTACATTGAAAATGGCTCACGTTGGTTTAGCTGGGGACCACTTGGCAGTTTCTTTGTTCTGGTGCTTTTAGGAGTTTGTGTTTTGTTGAAGGCAGTGGGGATTTGTCCAATCAGTCAGATCAGGTTTCACTGTGTATAAAACAAAAAGCACTGATGACACTGCACTGCCTGGCATGAGTGCTGATGGTTCTTGTTGCATCTGCTTTTACAGTTCCTTGAGAGTAGAGATGATTTGTAGGTGTTTATAGCTGGTCACTGAGGTGTGGAATACAGTTCAGGTTATTTTCTTTTATAGTTTAGTTGTCTTTGCAATTATTAGTGGATTCTTTTTTTACCACCTATCTTTGTATGTTTAGTTTCACAGTTGTTTTAACATGTGCCTATATTTCATAAAGGGCACTCTGCTTTCTGAGGCCCAGACTGTCTTTCTTGGAGGTTCAGCTGCTGCTAAATTAAGTTTTGAGTGAAAGAATGCTAATTATCTGTCCAGTTTCTAGACCTTTACCTGTACACTGATTTTAAGAGCCCTGTGCTTTCAGTGCTCAGTCTGAGTTAGCATCAAAGTAACACATTAAACATCTTCAAATCAGAGTGCTTCATGTGCAAGAGGCAAGAAACCATCTAAACCTCCACCTCCATTTAAAAATAGGTCTCCATAAAAATGGTAGCCTTTTTTCTTTTTTTTAAATGAGTGAGGAATGACATTTAACAAAACTGAACTTTATGGTTGTCTTCTCATATCCACCCTCACCTGTGACTTCAGTTTGTATTTTCAAGGCAGTGATGCAAAAGAATGGAAGGCAGATGTTCTGTGCTTGAAAGAAGTATAAATTATTGATCTCATGTTCACAGGGATCCTCCCAGTAAGAAAAGGAAAATGGAAACCTCTGCACACAATCAGCAGCTGGCAGAGAAAGCAAACGAAGCGTTCATCAGTACCCACAGTAATGCTCCTGGCACTCAGGAACTGGAGTCCTCTGAAGTGAAAGCAGTGGCCTCTCTTGAAGGCTCCCACAGCTCTAACTTCACAAACCAAATGCAGCCCAAATGCACCCCCAAGATGCTTTTGCCCAAGCCCAAGGTGGCTTTGGTTAAAGTCCCGGTGATGCAGGTTGCTCACTTGCCTGTTTATGTGTCTGCAACAGACCCTTCTGTCAAACCTGCTGTAGTGGCTGTTGATAATCAAGGCTCAGTTGTAAGTACTGTTCATTTGTTGCCTCAGTCCATAGGAATTCTGATTCCAGCCCTGGAGGCAGAGACCCTTGTGTTTAAGGACAGTATGCCTGTGTCAAAAGTGACAAGTGCTGGTGATCGAGAGCCTGTGAGCACTGGTGTGCAAGTGGAGCTGGACAAGGTCACACCGACTAACACAGGGCAAGAGATGGGCACTGTTTGTCACAAGAACAAAATTTCTTCTATAAATATACAGACTGACTTATCTTATATTTCACAGAACTTTGTCCCAGCTGCAGCCTGGACTCCCAACTCTTGTGTGTCCTCTTGCTCTCAGACAGATCTGTCCTTCAGCTCCCAGGTTTCCTTGCCCATCAGTGTCCAGACACAGACACTGCTGCCTGCTTCCAAACTGACTTCATCCATTGCTGCTCAGACTGATGCTTTCAGTCAGGGGTGTTTCCCAACATGTGGAGTTTCTAGAGAGACTCAAACCAGTAGGACACAGGACTGTATTGATGGAAGAGTTCAGATGGACCAGGCTGTCATGTGCAGTGACATCTTTGACAATGTTCCTTCATCGTATAATGTTTCTACTCACATTGATCTTCCAGAAAACAATTTAATGCCTGCAAATATAGATCAAACCTTGCTGCAAAGAACTAACTGCAAGAGCCTGAATCAGGACTCGGTGAAGTCTGAATCCCTGATCAGCTTCACCACACAGACTAATATACTTCCACCTCAAAATACAACAGATAATCAAACCCAGACAATGGACCTGCTAAGTGATCTGGAAAACATCTTTTCAGGAAACATGTCTGGCCAGACACTGGATAATCGTGGCCTTTTGTCCGAGACGAGTTCTAATGCTGACACACATCTGCCATCTGGGCCCTCCCAGAGCACAGGGATAGACTTTGACATTGAAGAGTTCTTTTCAGCATCCAATATCCAAACTCAGACTGAAGAGAGTGAGCTTGGTACCCTGAACTCTGAGCCAGTTTTGGAGTCACTGGACATTGAAACTCAGACTGATTTCTTATTCTCAGATAGTGCCACTCAATCCTATAACTGCCGGGGCAATTCTAACTTCTTAGGTTTGGAGATGTTTGATACACAGACACAGACAGACCTGAATTTCTTTTTGGACAGTACTACCCACCTGCCTTTAGGAAGCATTCTGAAGCAGTCCAGTTTCTCCATGAGCACTGACTCATCTGATACAGAAACCCAGACAGAAGTGTACGTGGCTACTAAAACCACACCTACTCAGAATATTGAAAGCAAAGTCCAGCTCAGCAGTGCTGAGACACAGACTATGGACAGCTGCTTTGAGAACCTGGGCAGTTTATTCCTCACCAGCAATGAGACACAGACAGCAATGGATGATTTCCTTCTGGCTGACTTAGCCTGGAATACGATGGAGTCCCAGTTCAGCTCAGTGGAAACACAGACCTGTGAAGAGCTGTGCTCCTTGTTCCAGAGCTCTGACAAGCCCAGCCACTGAGTGCTACGTGATTTAACTGTTCCCTGTGGTTTGAATTTAACTTATTGGGGTGGGAGGTAATGGCTTTACCAAGTGATCCACTTTGCATCATTGAATGTAGTTGTCATGAGCAGTTGACCTAAGAGACTTTTCATGCTGAAGGTACTCTCTTGAATATGTAACTTGACATAAACTATGTGTGTATAAATGGGGGGGAAGGGAGGGGGCTGTAACATGTCGATGTACATTTGAACCTTAAAAATTATGTGGTGCCTATGTTTTTTCCTCAAACTTCTTTACAAAGCTGTTACTGCTTTCATTTAAATGGAAGAACTTTTTGAAGTTGTTCTCTCTCTCTCTCTCTCTATTCCTGGCTTCCATGCAGGGTTCCCATGTGCTGGACCAAAACCCTGACCTGTTCAGTTGAGATGCTTCCCTGAACTTATGGGGGAGGATTCTATTTTTAGTGTAAGCTACTTCTGTTTACTTTTTTTAGTAGCTTGTATTTTAAATCCGGCATGAACATAATAAGCCGTATTGTCTTCTTTTACTTTCTGCCTTCACAGCTCTTTCTCCTGCATAAGCTGGCACTTCCCAAATACCTGTCCTACACACTAGACACATAGAGATTCTCGAATTGTTGAACATATTTATTATTAAAAATATCTAGAAAGCAGTACCTTTTTTTTTTCTCTCCCTGAGTGGCACTGATGCCCTTTGAAGGGTAGGAAAAGAACTTGGAGTTCATTGTTCTAGGGAAAATTAGTATGTAGTCCTTTTAGCTAAGGTAATAAATGGGACTAACGTTTTTAGAGTCTCCAGGGGGGATTTGCTTAAATTATTTCTGTCTGTAAGATACAAATGTTACAATGTGTGTGCCTCAGAGACTGGAATCATTTGTTTTTGCTGAAGTTCTCCTAGCTTTATTGAGATACAAGTTGAGAAATGTTACAGTGGTTTATACCTCTATTACCTTAACAGAAATCTTTAAAAATGGGAAATTAAATTCCTTAAAACACCCGCTCACCTCGACTCCTGCTTTTGGACTTCCTGCTTCCAAAACCAACTGGAATCCATACAGCAGAGCTGGGAAATCAGCTCACAGAGGCCCTTTCACAACACCTCTATCTTGCTTTTGCACGTTGATTCGCAGCCCTCAGTTCCTGCAGCTTTTGGAGTTTCCCTGAGTGCAGTCAAATTCACACAACTTGATTTTTCAGAGAAGAAACACATGACCTCTTGGAATCTTTTTTTTTAATGTTTATGTTGCCCCTCCTGCCACTGTTTGTGGTATTTTTTCATTTGCGTGAGAAGACGTAAGTTGTGAATGTATGTTGGAATTTGGCCTTAAGTAATTTTTTATCTCTTGCTATAATATCTGTGAAATGTAGGCCTCTGGTTTGGTCCTGGACAGGTTTTAGCTTCTGTAACCTTAAAGGAAGGAGAAACCTCTTCGTGTCAAACTCCTGGGCCTGTAACAGACTTTACTCCTCTGTTGTCAGAGGAGAAGTGCTGGCTGTGGATTTACTGTGCAGCCCAGCAGCAGAGGGATGTCCAAGCCTTAGGTTTTGAGGACTCACCATGCTTTGTGCTGCACATTCTCAACTCAAGGATGTGGGAGTTAAGTTACTCATCCATTGCAGGCAGCTTGTTTTGGTTGAAAATGAGCAGTACATTTCTTCTTTCCTATTTTTTGTCTCTTCCTAACACTCTTTAACTTGCCATAGTTAACATGCTGATATGGTGAGCATCTCGACCTTTACTGGAAATAATTTCTTTAGATTAACCCTGAAACTCCCATTTTCCTCCTGAAATCCCAGCTGTGTTGCCTGTTTAATTTTTCAGCGTTTCTAGGTAGGAGTTCAGACACTTCCAGTCTTTGGCTGAAGAAACTGCAGAAAGGAATCTTCAGTTCCCCAGGAGCACAGTAATTCTGCTGTGGGGAAAGTCCCCCCGGGTTTCACAGTGTCTAGAGTTCTGATCTGAAAGGTGGGATATAGTAAAAAAAGGAAGGCATCACTTGTAAATTTTGTTTCTTCTGAAGATATGACTATTTTATATTTACCAGCCTCCTCTGAAGTTGGAAAATAAGATAACAAAATTAATTTATTCTGTGTTTTTCTAGCAACGTTGCATCTTTACATTTCAAAATGTTTTTCCTTCTCCTTTCTTCCCCTGGATGGAATACCAGAGAACACTTCTTCATACCCAGGCTTCTGTGTTTCCCACAGAAATGCCTGAAAGAGAAGGTGTTACTGTGAATCTAGTTGGGGAAAAGGGTATTTTCCTCAAGTGGCAGAAATGAGAAACTCCTTTACCTCTGAATGTAGAAAGTCAGTCTTTTTTTCTGCAAGAGAAGGAATCTTAGGTGCTGAAGAGCAGAATTGCAGAGAGGTTTGAGTTGTAGCCATCTGAGAGACCAGCTGGCATTTAAAGTGCTTTGAAACTAATTTACAAATTAGAGTGAGAATTGCCACAGTTCTTAATTCTTAACATTGGGGACCTCCAGAAAAAAACCCCACAGGTTTGTGTGGACAACTTTACAATGTAATCATTGCCCAGTTATTGTACTTTGTAATTAAAAGTATTTGTGAGCTTTGTTTGCTTTACTAGAATGTGCACATCAGAATCATTTCGCTCATCCTGTGGGTTTAAAATAGTTTGAACTTTAATTCAGTGAACACAGTACTACAACATGAAATCATTTACTGAAAGTGCAGTAGTAAAAAGTAATTAAATATGTGTGCACTGTCTTAGGGAAGTGACTCATTAACGTTTTTCTTCGCAAATTTGGTTCTCTGTAAATTATTCACAGAAGTCAGAAACGGGTCTGGATCCTGTGTTGCTGGCTTAAGTCACTCAGTTTGCATTTATTAAGTATTTTTGTGAAAATGTGGAGACTGCAACCAGACTTCACAGTCTGGTGAATCCCACAGTAAACATCATGAAACCTGATCTGAAATACTGGGGCTGAATATTGCAATTTTTTCACATCTGAACAAGTTCTTGGAAAAGGCTAATTTTCTATTTTCACCATGATTTTCAAAATAAACTTCAGTCAGAACTATTTCTTGGTAGAACTAAAATGATACTTATCTCCCTTTTTCTGCAGTTTGTCTCTGATTTGGTTTGCAAGGCACTGTCTTATTGTAAGTATTGGTCAGTGACTGACTCCTTTGCTTACTCCCTTCTGTATCCTCTGCTGCCATTAGAGCTGCTCTTCAGAAAGTAACATCAGATTCTCCACAGCCTTTTAGCACAATTGTGTATCTGGAAGTGATACTAATGTTACTTGTGCTTACTCTGTGCATTTTCTGCTTAATTCCATTATGCTGTGATTGCTGGATCTTGATCTGGGTGCCTGTGTAATGCTATTCTAAAACTGAATTAGTAGTTTTGTAGTTTGATTTGAGCTTTTCTTTAGTATATAAAGATTCAAACAAAGGAAACAGCAAATTTGGGACTTGCATTCTATGAGAGCATAAGCACAAACAAGCTGAAAAATGAAACGTCTGTCTTTTTGCCTCCCATATTTGTTTGTCACAATGCTAAAGGTTTGTATGACAGTAGATGTTTCTTCTACTTGTGGCTTTATTTGCATCTCTTTCTGCTAATACACTTTTAAATACTTCCTGCTGGGGGTAGGGAGGGAGTCCCCCCCAACTCTTTGTGTTGGCCTAGAGAAATTGGTAGTTTTAAGTCAGAGTTTGCTAATGCTACACATTCTTAGCTATGCAAAGCTGCTTGTGTCTAGAAAATTTTAACTTCCAAAGGATATGAAAGCATTAAAAAAAACGTGTATATACCTGCAGCTGTAAATTAAACAGCTGTAAACCAAGTCTTGTGAGACCTCATCTAGTTTTAACAATCCAATCAGTGTCTGTAATTAATGTATGTAACTAACTCCTCACAGATTTTTATTCCAAGGCTCATACACAGTCAATTTTTTCTGTTGAAAACAAGAGGCTGAATTTCCCTGTTTGTCACACGGACCTTGATTGTGTAGGGGCAGCAGAACAAAGAATGCCTTCCACTGTTCTCAGTCCTTGTGCTGCTGGCACGTGCTCATGGGCTGAATTGATTTTCTTAAGAGGCTGGGTAGAAATGTAAGTGTTGGCAGGATTGGGGTCTTAAGGGGTTAGGAGATTTTTTTTTTTTAATATCCTTTCAAATGTAGGGTAAGTCAGTAGAACTGATACTGAATCAACTTAGGGTGCTCAACTTGCAAAAGAACACGTTCCTGAAATGACAGCTCAGAGGTGAACCAAATGTACTTGCCTTTGTTGTTAAGGTTGTACAGCTTCCTTTGCTTTAATATATTTCTGACATGTGCTGGTTTTTTAAACATGATCTTAATGTACAATTTACTGTTCCAAATACATTCACACCAAAATGTTGGTAACATTCTGGGCCTTGCAAGCTTTTTTTCATTCCTTTTTGGTTTAAGATGCTGCTATGACGTGTCCTGGTAGAATGGACCTGCATTTAGTAACTATGAACACTAAGAGGATGTTTAATGGTAGCAAACTTCAGTGCGAGGTGCAAACGTGCATCCTCTGTTTCTTTTGTTGTTTTTGAAGAGTTGATGTGATTTTCAAGGTGTGCTGGAAGGACTTGCTGCTTAGGGCACGACTGAATTCTCCTGTTTAAAATGCCATTGCTATGCAATGAACAGAAGCCAGCCCTGAGCTCTGCAGTCGGGGTTGGGGTTTGTGTGAGGGAACGTTTGTGTTTTTGTGAGGGAATGTTTGGGTTCTTGTGTGTGGCTCTTCCACTTCCCTTCAGATGTCACGGACAGCCCGGGTCGGGGGAAGCTCCTGAAGGAACTGCTGAGTGGAATGACAGAAGTCCCTTTATTTGTGACCCTTTTTGGCTTTACAGAACCTTCAACAATATAATAGATGACTTGTGGTGATGCAAACTGTGCATTTCACAACAGCCAGTGCTTTACATGCCTGCTTCAAGCACCTGCATGCAGAGCTAGAGTGACAGCACTTCTATCTACAGGTACTTGCAAGTGCATCTGTGATAAAGCTAGATATGAAAGCCATATTTCTACAGCTTAAAGAATTCAACACCTGATTAGGATCTCATTGAAACGTGTGATTATTTTGAATGGATGAGTAATAAATCTCACGGGTGAGTCCTTCCCAGAGCATGTGTGAGTTAATCTCAGCAAGGCTGAGAAATGTCCTTAAATAATTTTTCTTTTCTTCACCGGTGGGATTTTTTTATTTAGTGGACAAATTTAGTTTCCAAAGGATGTTCATGTTTAATTCTTGCTGTTTAAGCCAGTAGACTTGCAATGAGCAAACAAAATCAAGCATTCATTTCTCAGACCTATTTTACAAGTGACAATCCCAAAGAAGGAATGTTGTCCTAGTAACTGTGAAACTTTTAAGTATATTATTGCATGCAGAGAAAACCTTGTGCCAAAATACTGTTTCATATTTCCCTCTGTTGGAAACTGAAGTGTTACACAAAGCTACGAGTTAAGTTATTCACAAGTATTGAAACGTTTTGTTCACAAATGAAGCACTTATTTAGTCCTGTAAATGATACATATTTTGGAATAAAGTTAACTTCAATCAAGTTTTGCCTTCTGTTTTAATGGCCATGGTCTCCTGCCTGCAGAGGCCTGGGGGGGTTCAGTGCCTATTGGCAAGTAGCACCCACTGCTCCTTGACATCTTACCTTTTGCATTGGTAGAGGTTCTGTAAATTAAAACGATTACAATGTCAGTCCTTGATCTCTAGAGGTGGCAAAAAGGTTCTCCATCTCAAACCTCTCATCAGCATGTGCAAAATGTAATCTTTAATTACCTTGTATGTGCAGTGGAATGAAAACCTCTGCAGTTTCAGCTCTCTGACAGGTGCCTCACCTCTACAACAGACTCTCAGGACAGGAATCCTTTGCCTTCTTCCTCAGCCTTACTGTCCACCCCTCCTGTAATTTTTAAGATCTCCAGTGTCACAGCATCAAGTAGAAATTCAGCTGTATTGGGATGATTAGTTTTCAAAGTATCCTATCAAATTACAGTCCTCATTAACAGCTTATATTATTTTAAAATATATTTTATATAAGAAAATATTGTTTGGTTTGAACATGGATGATACTTTGTCCCTTTTCTTCCTGTACAGTTGCCATGCTTAGCAACGACCCCACCATTTTCTGTTAGTTGGAGGATACAAAATGCTGATTTCTATTGTTCCCTGTAAATCTTGTGTGTGTGAGTCAGAGGAGGTGACTGAGCTCCATCAGCTGTAGCCATGAGTGAAGCATTCCCAGGTGGACAACAGCAGGCTGTGTTCAGTCCTGTCCTGCCCCAAGGTAAGCATTTACACACAGCAGCAGTCAGGTGTTTCCAGAGGGCAGTATGGCATAAATATCTAGAAACTGAATTCCTATTCAGAGCATTTGAAATTATGGAACAGTCAGATGTATAAGATCCTTTTAGGACTAACAGCCCTATTCCCCTCATAGGGATGATTCTGCTTCAGTTTGTGTTTATGAACTGCTGCTGCTGAGAATTATTTATTCTGTTGGCAGTGAGAGTGTCCCTGCCTGGTTTGGGTTCAGTTCCTGGATTTCCTTCACTTGAAGGAATTGCATGCTGGCAAGCTGATTGTTTTCTCTCAGAACAATGGAATTAGAGGCACATTTTCCTTCTGGCTCCAGGATTTGACAGCGAGTCCTCTGGATTTAGTCCTTTGAAAGTTTGGACCTAAAACAATAGGAGAAAAATGTTGATTTAACTTTCAGGTGTTCCATCATTGTATTTGTAATTGTTGTCAACAGTTCACTTGTTGTGTTTTGGCACCTTGGATGCAGGAAGCACTTCTGGCTGGTCCAGCCCTCAACTTGATTTCCTTTCCTTGAACAGGAATGGTGTTTTTCTTGAGAGGACTCACACAAAAACAAGAAGCTGCTGTTTCCTGTGCTAGAGGAACCCAGTGTGTTCAAGGGCACATCACTTGATGGCTGAAGTGTTGTGGGTTTGTTTCTTTGTGTTCTAGGCCTTTACTCAGCAGCTTTTCTGGCCTTTTGCTCCAGGTCCTGTAGCAATAATCTGTGACTGTGGTTCATAGGAATGTTATCTTCCATTTTTGTGGTAAAACCTCTGTCTAATCTGTCTGATTTGACATTGAAAAACTACATTGATGCACACATTTATTGGCAAAAAAAAAAATCTAAAAAGACATTGAATTCCTCTATCTGTTTTTAAGTGGAAATCATGTGCCATCAGGAGCTTTGCACAGGTATTATCTTTCCCTATCCCAAGTTTTTATCAAAGCATCAAAAGAAGGGAAGAGTCAGTTGCAATGAATCCCTGTTCTGAATGCTGAGCTGAATTGCAGTTACCTGTGTATCTGTGGGAAGTGCTGTTTTATTTTGTATTTTGTTTAACACAAAAGCAAAAGAGAACTTGATCTGAAAGTCCCTTATTTAGTATGAGCTGAAACAAGAATAAGTGGCCACCAGAATGCACAGAATACATATTATACAGAAACAAGCAAAGAACACATTAACAGGATTTAAGAAAAGAATCTACTTAGAATGAGTAAGAAAAAATGATTGTGTCAGTGCCACCACTGTCTGATTTCCAGGTCATTTCCATTTCTTTTAGGTGACAAATGAGCAAGGAATGCATGCAAATGTTTATCTGAAGCTCAATAGGACTTAGCAGTCTTAAAGTTTATAATATTATTAAATGCCTTGCAGAGTAGGCATGGATTTAAGAATATTCCTAAAGTTAGGCATTGCTTCAGTGCTCAGCAGCATCAAACACTGAATTACTGTGCAAGGCCAACCAGATAGAGTGAATCTGAGGGAAGAGGTTACACTTCATCCCCAGAACAAGCTATTTAAAGCTCTAATGAATCTTTCTTGTGGTCAGGAAGAAACTAAACCTACATGTAAGTAGTTGGCATTCATCAGCTTATAATTCTATTAATAGCATCTACAAAACCACAAATATCCCCGGTGCTCACAAGGAAATTTTACTGGTGCTCTCACAGTCTAACAAGCTTTAAACCAGCATGAAATTAAATATAGAAATGTTAGGTCAGTCTAGACAGCACTGCAGCTCCCCAGCGTGGCTGACTGGTAAGGTCCAGAGAGCAGTGGAACCTCCCACATTTTTCATTCATTCCTGACATTATCAGTTAAAAAGCCCTGGATATCATCGTGTTTTGTAGATTGTTTTTTTGATTTATATGTAGAATCTGCACCCAGGCATGAGGACTGTTCTTTTTAAAAGCAATTAGAAACAGTTGCACTACCTCAATCTGCTGGGGGAGCACAGTGCCAGTGACACTGCTCAGGACCTTCCTGCAGGAGCGAGACCTTTGTGTGGCATGAGAGAAACGGCGACTCAGGAATTTCGATTTTGTGTCCCTTCACTTCATCATTCCCAATGCCAGCTCCTTTTTCACTCTTCTGCTCTGCTGCTCTAGCATTGAGTACAGGAAGCAATCTCAGCTGAAGTACCATTGAGCATCTTCTGAGAGAGAACAGCTTTTGTGTTCCTCCAGGAAGGGTTTGAAGTATCCTTGGGAGTGGCATTTTCCACAGGTGGGAGCACTTCGTGAAGACTTAAAGTTTCAGAGTAGTTTGGACCAAACGGATCAAGCACATTCATTTCTTTATGCCTTACAGCTGCTGGATTTTTCACATCTTGAAGATTCCACATACAGTGTTCTTTTTATTGGTGCATTCCTTATTTCCCCTTGGAATGTTTGAACAATGCAACTTGTTACTTATTCCCCTTTTAGTGCCGTATGTTGTAGGATAACATTTAGACTTCCTAGACGGGGTTAAAATCTCTTCCTTGTCTGGAGCTGTGTCAGCTCTGACACCTGCACTTTACTTGCCACCTGATTTTGATTGATTTCTTGTGTTCTTGGCTCCTTGACCTGTGTGGTTGTCTAAGCAAAAGTGGCCCTTGTTGGGAGCTCCATTTGTCTGGCGCTGCTCCGCTTGTTTTTGCAGCTGGAAGCTGGCAAGTGGATCGGTTTTATCCCGAGATAATCAGGTTAATCTGACCTCTGGTGTGCTCACTCATGGACACTGCTCCCACCCTCAGGAAGGACGCTGCCCTTCACATCTTCTCTTCACCAGGGGTGTAAAAGTGATGGGGGAAAACATCCCCAGATGTGAAGGATTTTGGGGAGGTCGGACGTGACGCTCGACCGATCACCGACCTCGGATTATCCACATCCAGTTTCCATGGATAGGGCAGAGCCTCCTATCCAGGAGCAGCCACTGGGCTGAGGAGGTGGGGAAGGAAGGGCTGTGAGGGAGCTCTGGGAACTGGGAGAAAGGACAGAACCAAGAGCTTGGAGGCAAAAATGAGGAGAGAGCGGAAAGGGGCTGGAGGAAAGAGAGAGTCTGTGCAGGGGTTTAAAAATAAGAATGAATTTAATGAATAAGAAGAGAGTCGTGCATATGGAAAAATGGATGTGAAATGACCACGTAGAAAGGAATAAAAAACTGTCAGAAAGGTGAAGAAAGGAACAAATTAAAAAAACCTGAGAAGACAATTTGCTCTTTAAATATAAGGAATCTAAATAATCACAGTGAATCACTGCCTGACCAACAGAACTTAACAATGAAAAAATATTAAAATCAAATATGCAACGAGCATATTTTTATGTCTAAAATAATTTACTAGCACTACTGAGACCATTTGCAGTTGATAGAAAGCCCTGTGGTTATTTTCTAACATGGCATGAAGACTGAGTCACAAGGACTCTTATCAGAAGATGGGATCTGGGGACATCCTCAAGTGCATTTATTCAGATATTTGCATGAAAAGCTGTGTTAAAAGTTAAAAGTTCTAGGACTGTTACTTAATCCTTGTTAAAAAATTCAATCCTTCTAAAAAAGAGCAGAACTAACTATATAAGAAAAATACTTTAAATGTTCTTTATAAATTTCTTCGCAAAAAGGAGATGTATCTGTTTGGGTATTTTTCTTTTCCACTGTGTTAATTGTTCTGTGGGTTTGGTTTTTTTAGCTCATGGTCTCCAGAAGTCTTAAGCCAATCACTTAAGAGCCAAGAGAGACAGTTAATGCTTAACCAATAAATTGTGTGTGAGCTTCATCATAGTGTAAAGGCAGATTCACAAGGTCATGAACAGAGGTGAACTCTTACAATTCTATTTTCTTGTTGATAATGTATCTTCATTTGGATCCCGGTATTTAAAACCAAAAATAAACAAAGAACAACAAAACAAAACCAAAAACCCAACCACAAAGCACCTTTTCCAAGGGTCACATCTCAGTTTAGCAGAACTTGAAGCCCTTTGGAAATTAATCACTGATCTTTGTTTGACATCAAATGTCCTTGATACAACTCTGTGTATCACACAACTTTAATCTTAATAGATAAAGACTGTATAACCTGGTTAAGTGAAGATAATATTTGATACAGAAATCAATACCATTGTTCTTCAACAGAATAGTTATTTTTTTTATATATATATACACCTCAGGCATATTACCTAATTCTAATACGGCACTTCTAGAGATGTGACTAAGATACTTTCTTGGGGAAATAAGTAAAGTCTGAGTTAATCTTCAGTGTGAAATGGTGTGGGAAGGTATTTTTAAATTATAAGTGTGCAGAGCAACTGTCTCACGCAAGGCTCACAGATTGTCAGCGTAAATACCATTGTCAGATTCGTGCAGTCACATAAGATTATTAAACTTGGGGGTGATATTCTCATGTAACACCTACACAGTACATCAGCTTCAGGGGAGCTGCACAGATACAAATGAGAGTAGAAGTTGACCTTTCCAGTCCACGCACTGAGTCACCAGTTCACCTCCAGAGCTGATGTAACCGTAATGCACTTCGCCTTTACATCCATTTTATCTGCCTGCAATGCTCATTACTAAATATAAACCTGTTCTGGAAAGTTAAAGTGGACATGTGACAGGGGCCACTTTGGATAAGCCCCAGCACTCAGACACTCTGCCCTATTAATGGTTCCACCGTGGTTGTGCCTAATGCTCCCCAGCGCCCGTGTTTGCTTTCTCCTGGATTACCTGGCCTCCAGACAATCAATAAATGCAGCAGGAAAAAAAAAAAAGCTCCTGGTTCACTGCCTGCTGCAGTTCTGCCTTTTCCTTTCAAACAATTTAAATCTCAGCAGAAGAGGGGACCAAACGTCTCAGCTCAGTTAGCTGGAAAATCTCAGGCATCAGGCGGATTTTTCGCTGCCGTTTGGCACGGCAGAAATGTCAGGGGCACTCGGTCTACGGAGGCAAACGAGAGGCTGCCTCTCACATTTTTGACGTCAGCTGGAAGATGCAGAGACAGATCAACAAAATGTTATTAGGACAATGTTAATTAGGACAAACCTTTATCCTGTGACCCTGCTGTTCGAATCTGCCAAGGGAGAGGAATCCGCCGGAATGAAAACAATGCCTGAGCACCATTTCCTAAGCCTGTCAACGTTAATTGTAATTTAAGACCTTCTGCTCTTCTTACCCTACAATAGAGCAACACGAGCTCTAGAATTTAAATGATGAGGTCTCTATTCCTGCTGGCACCTTCAAAATTATCTTGTCGTGAAAATACTATTTTCCAGCGAGAAGATAAGAGGTATTTCTTTAAAGGGGGTAGCCAGGTCGGCACTGATGACTTCTGTGTCAGCTTTGTTACTGACAGTGGTATTTAGAAAAGAGCCTTGGATGGTGTCCTTAACACAGCACTGTAAATGCAGAGATGGATTAGACTTTGAAACTTAACATGTTCAAAATTTTGGGAACTCAGTTAGGATGGAGAGGGGGTGGTGTAAGGCTGCTACCACTGCATATATTAAAGCAGAGTCTCTGTGTGTGGTGCTGCTTGCTCGCTTCTGTGGATTGAAGCTTTTGCTGTGGACAGTTATTTACAGTAGGCAAACCCAAAAGGACTTCCTTTTACAAATGGGGTCTGATGCTTCCCACTGTCAACTTGTACCACAGTTTCCACATCACAGAAGGATGCACAAGGCTACAGGGTATTTGAGGGAATACATCTGTGTGTGTATTTGTTAAATTTCAGTGCTCAAAACTTTCATTTACTGTGTCTGTCTTAAATTCATCAGAGGGGAAAGAGCAGCCTGGTAGTAAGGACACCCTCGGAAGTGAAAGATGTGGGTAAGAGTTCCAACAGCTTCACCCTTG